TCTAGTAAGGGCTTGAGTTGAAATAAAATTTTTGTTTAAAATTTGCTCCTTAAAAATGCAGCATCCTTGAATTCTTTTATTTACGCAAATGTTATTTTGCACTCTATACACTTTCACCAGTTGTACTACGCTATCAACCAGTAAACGTGTCTATTCTGACTTTTGCTTCAAATTGCATATACTAAAATATAAACCCCTAAGTAGCCATAGGGACAAAAATCCTAAACTCAAAGCTATTACAGCAATGAAAGCTATGACGTCTAGGCAGTAGTACTGTATGAAGCTCATGCTTCGTGAATGCAGAATCAAATGATCCATTCTGCCGTGTTCAATGATGAAGTTAGCCCATTTGGCGATATCTTCACGATACTGCTGAGGTCGTCCTTTAAGCATCGATGCAACAAAAGCTGCTTCTCGAGTGATTTTTCTAGAAAAGACAGCTCAGTGGGTTTTTCTAGAACTTCTATGAAAACTTACCTATCACCTAAAATTCTCTGAATACCTTTCGTCAACGTTTCCTTATTGAGTTTGTTCTTCTCAACAACAATTCCAATACCTCTTTTTTGGATAATATTTGAGTTATACTGCTGATCGGCAAATAGTGGTACAACAATCACCGGCTTTCCGTAAAACATCTATAACAATTTGGTAGAACTTGACAGAATAACTCAAAAATTAGTCTTTCTAGTCACCTACTGCTTCTAACAATGAGTTCATTCCACCATGTGTGACGAATAGAGAAAGTCGTTTGTCCCCTGGAATTTCATATCATACACACCCATGTAGGAAAAATGAACTTGTAAATAAATGAACTAATACATTGCTTTGTTAATTGATAGACTAAATAGAAATAAACAAATAGCAGACCTAATAAATCTATCTGGGGAATCCATTTGAGCGGATAAGTGTTCGGATGCGATTGGAAGAATATGTCGTCACCTTCGTACTTCCAAATGAATGTAACGTCAGGAAACGAGTCGAACGTCTCCAAGATGTCTGAAAGCGGCATATTTATCCAATCTATCTAGCTATTTATTTGTCAGACGGACCATTCTTCATCCATGCTGGCATATCCACTGATCGCGCTACAGATCCCATGGAAAATAGTACGGTCCGGTTCCGTAGGTTCAGCAAATTATCCAATTCCTAGGAAAACATTACAGCAAAATAGCGCCATAAAGCAATTTCTCTGAGTTACATGGAAGAAAATCTACTTTTCCCAATGGTTTCGGCTGAACCACTGCCGCGCCACCAATGTATTTTATCATATTCGTTGTAGGACGAGGAGTTTCGGCAAATTCGTGGACATTAATCATACTCAATGCTGTCATCTTCTAAAGCAAAAAATGTTGATTTTACATTTGCAAAGCTTCCATTTAAGCCTACAAAACAGATGTCTTGCATTGTAGGAAATCCAGGGTATTTCGTACTGAACAATTGCCAGAAAATCTGATCCCATTTGTTCGTCATATGCTTGTATTGCAAATAGAAAATGAAATTTGAACATCTTTCCAAAAACGTCATGTCATCCGAGTATGGGGTTATTACTCCTATAATTTGCAATATAAAGACTTCCATATTTCATGATTTTGTTTCCCAAGCTCATCATATCCTGCCTGGGATGAAACTAGGAAAGGCAGTAAGTCCAGCTACTTCATACATGCGAGGCAATGCACCAACTGCCGAAACCAGTACGATATTTTTTATTCCGAGTATCTGCAAGGTGAAATGATTTAAGAAAAGCTTCTAATCGTTTCTGGTTGCCTATTAAAGAAGCAGAAGAGTCAAGCCTACTTAAAACATTCCAATAGCACATGGATCATAAGTTTCCGAGAAAGCTAGTTGAAATTTCGACTCCTTTAGAGCATTTATCATTTCCGAATCTTCCAGAAGATCTATAATTGAGGAAGAGATGTTGATTTAGATTATAATGTATCCAGAAGTTTATTTTTCGTACCCTTACAATAATTGAATGTAAGCTTAAACATCATTTCAAAATCATGCCAGTCAAAACAAACACCATTGCATGGTGGCGCATCCCACATCGATGTAGACTTGAGCCTTAAGAATAAATCATAAATTTGCTAAAAATTCATGACGAAAACGTTCAAATTTCATGACGTGAAAACAAGGTAAAGCTCACCTTTTCATAAATTCATCTGAAGGTTTTGATGGAGTAAAGCGAATTGTTCGAGCCTTGACATGATTACCAAAAGGGATGGTTTTGGGATCAATTGTAGGCGAAAAAATTGTCTGTAAACTTCTCTTCACTCGCTTTCTCAATGGATATCCTAACATGCTACATGAGTAAAGGCTATTTATGCAGAAAGAAACAAAAAGAGAATTATCTAACACCTATATTACATACCACATTATGGCCATCAGCTGTGAGTATATCAGCTATATTTCCCAAAAATTTTATATGGCTATAAGCGACTGAAGGGTTCCAGATAAGTATATTAGCTGTGCGCACCAAACCATGCAGCAAATAAAATAAAAAGCTTTTGTAAAACATTAACATTATAGGTTCTGAAAGAAATAAAATTCCTCCCAAATTTTGCAGAA